ATACGTGTGAAGGGGGAGCCCAATGAGGTGCTTGGCTGCCCGACATGCATGCAAGCCAAGTTCACCCGTTTCCCGTTCTCTAGTTCGGAGGCAACGGCTAAGGCACCACTTGATGAGGTGGTGATGGACGTGGTGGGCCCCCTGAAGCTTGGAGCTGCTGGAGCAGAGTACTTTCTCACCATTGTGGACGTCTACACCCGCATGACCTGGGTGTATGTGCTGTCCAAGAAGAGCGACATGACTGAAACGGTGAAGACCGATTGGTTGCCGATGGTGGAGCGGCAACAAGACCCTCTTATGATGTCAATCCGCACCGATCGAGGAGGAGAGTTCCTGAGCAAGGATTTCTTATTGTAGCTAAAGTAGAATGGCATAAACCACTCTCTTACTAAGTCATACTCCCCTGCAAGGAACGGCATCGCCGAGCGAGCGAACCGGACAATCACGGAGACAACCGGCACGCGGGTTGCTCATTGAAGCCAGGCTACCCGATTACTTTTGGCCTGATGCGGTGCGGAGTGCATGTGTGGCCAATAATAGAGCCTTGACTCGTGTGGGAGCAGATAAATAGGTGCCCAATGTAGAGTGGATTGGAAGGAAGGCAAAGGTGGATATGCTTCGGGTGTTCGGGTGCATGTGCATGGCGCTCATGATTAAGCTTCTTCAGCACAACAAGCTTCGTGCTTAGGCAATATGAGCTGTGCATTTGGGCTTGGCACAAAACAGCAAAGGATGGCTTCTTTGGGACCCATTCACCAAGAAATGTTTGGTGAGCAGCGATTGCAAGTTTATGGAGAACCTGATGTACAAGGATTGGAAGGCGGAAAATGAGGCGAAGATAGGCGTGCGGTTTGGGGAGGTGAAGAGTTCCGGCTTGGAGCATGTGGAGCTGCCTTTGGAGCTGAGCAGTGGCAGCACCATCATATGGCAATCTCGTCTTGTCAATGGAGGAGAGGAGGCCAAGAATGTAGAGGAAGAGGGGGAGTAGGTGCAGCAAGTAAGCGCGCATACACCGACACTTCTCGCACTACGAGCACTCCACGGTTTCGAGTCACTCCGCAGCAACGCCAAGAGACCCTTCATGTCCCTGCAGCAGAGGAGGAAGGAAGGGGCAAGAGGAGAGTTCAAGCCCCTAATAGGCTGACGTATGATGCACCGGGAAAGCCGGGCAAGTCAGCCTTGGTCGGAGCGGCAATGATGGTTGGAGATGACGAGGAAAGTGAGTACGAGGAGTGTGCCTTCGCATTCTTCTCTCCGGTGGAGATGCCGGGAGAACCAGCAACTCTCAAGGAGGCCTTGGAGAGTAGTGATGCTGAGGAGTGGAAGAAGGCAATGGAGAGTGCGAGCTTAAGAGCATTAAAGCTGCGGTCTACATACCTCAAGCGGGAGGCAAAGGTTTATCACTTGAAAACAGGGTAACCCTAAGCCCACAAAGCACCCCTTTGCGGAGAAACGAAAGTCGAGGCGGAAGGAGGGAGGGGGTTAAGGGTGAGCAAACCAACAGCGAAAACAAGTTTGCCAGATTAGAACTTGACCCACATGATGGTTTGTAGACTGAAACTCTCCCGATGATGGTTGCCAAAGCTCACTCGCTAGACCGCTAGTGATATCGGAGATTTTAGTCGCCACGAAACCTACTTCTGGTACTTACACCTCGATTGCCATAGCGATTTAGGGTGCGTCGGCCGCGGATTACCAGCGTAGTCAAACACACCGTCGTGTTCTGCCCTGTACTCGTTGCCAGAGCTCCGCCTCGCCTAACAGTCACTGCTATAAAAATTCGTCGCCTAACCACGGTGGTTCACCGCCTCGCCTAATTTCGGTTCACCTCGTCGCCTTAGATCAGCTGGTCTCGTCGCCGCATCGTGCTGTGTTAGGCTTTTCAACGCGTATTGCCAGGTCTGTAAGGGCGTTCTAGTGGATGGCGTGTGAAGTGAAGTTTAGTCTGGTTTAGAGCTTGAAGTGTGCGGTTCCGTGCTGCTTTATTCCCCCTTCCGCCTTTCCTTCCCCCACCCAAAACTTCTCACGAAATTGGTTGGACTCGCTATCCTTCTTCGCCTGCGTCGCACTGGTGTTTGTAAATACGCTCACTTCGATTCCCAATGAACACACGCCAAAGGGTTAGCACTACAAATGCCCCCAAAAAAACCCTTTTAGTATGTAGACCGCAGCTTTAAGGAGATCGACACATGGGAACTGGTAGAGCTACCGGAGGGGCGTAAGGCGATTACGTCCAAGTGGCTCTTCGATATCAAGTCGGACGCCGACGGAAGATCGAGCGTTACAATTCTAGGCTTGTGGCCAAGGGGTACCAGCAGAAGGAGAAGGTGGAACACAAGGAGTTGTTTGTTCCTATGGTGCAGCCGACGACGCTGAGAAACCTACTCGCGGGGGCTACCATCAAAGGATGGGTGGTGAAGCAGATGGACGTGACAACCGCGTTCCTCAACGGTATTCTCGAAGAAGAGATTTTCATGGCACAGCCAGAGGGGTTTGATGATGGTAGTGGCAGAGTTTTGAAGCTGAAGAAGGCCCTCTATGGGCTGAAGCAGCCCCTTGGCAGTGGTATTTGAAGGTGCGAGAAGTATTGGCGGAGATCGGCTTCACTCCCTCGACGACCGATCACTCATTGTTAATTCTTGGCGAGGGGGAGCAGAGGAGCTTCATGGTGGTTTATGTGGATGACATCCTCATATTCTCACCCTCCTCTGACCTTGTGAAGGAGGTGATGCTGATGCTTCATCACAAATTCAAGTGCAAGGCCCTTGGTGACGCCAACTTCTACCTCGGGCTTCACATCGAACGTGACGTGGGAAAGCGGTCAATGCGAGTGCATCAAGGCAAGTCTTTGGGGATGGCATCAAAGCCGCTGTGCAGAAATCCGACTGTGCACTCTATCTTTCGTTTTAGGCACATTTCAGCCTATCGTGATTATAATAGTGGGTACTCCGGACAGAGGGTACTCCGGACCGTGGCTGCAGAACTGGTAGCTGCTATGGTTATATTGTTACAGATGCTTCTGCTCACCTGGGGGCTGCTTGGCTATTGCTCACCTCCTCATCCCCTGATTGGCCAGGGGATGAGGAGGTGGAGAGGAGGTGAGACTCACAGGAGCTTATCCCCACTCTAATCACACCAGCAACAAGACTCAAAGGAGCAAGAAGCTCCTGGGGGAAAGCAGTAAGGCAGTGAGGCAGTGAGGGAGTGAGAGAGTGAGGGAGAGGCAGTGAGGCAGTGAGGCAGCAAGGCAGCGAGGCAGTGCGGCCGTGAGGCAATGAGGCAGTGAGGCGGTGAGGCGGTGAGGTAGTGAGGTGGTGACGCGGTGAGGTGGTGTGGCATTGAGGCGGTGAGGTGGTGAGGTGGTGAGGCGGTAAGGTGGTGAGGCGGTGAGGCGGTGAGGTGGTGAACAACGATCGAGACTGAAGCAGTGTGACATTGTGAGATGGATGGGATGGTTTAGAACCAATAACATCACATTGACGTTCCTCCTTCCCCTCCGCTCCGAGCGCGCCAACCAACGGGAACGAGATGACACTCGACCAATTGCCGTACATCCTTGTTTTCCATGCCATGGTATCCGTAACATCGTTGGACGGGCAGAAGGACACCCATGGCCTCACCACCAGTACGGCGCTGCTGCTACCCTCCCCTCCCGCTGCAGCGCCAGCGGCGTCACCAGCGCCGTTGCTGCTGCTGCTGCTTGCTCCCACCGCGCTGCTGCTAGCTATCCCAGCGGAAGCGCCAACGGCAGAAGGGAGGGTTCGCGAGAAGTCAGCAGCTACATTGTCAACCAGTGGCCCATCCATCCTCCCAACCACAGTCGTCATGCACAGTGCACCGCGGTTAATAATGCAGCACAGCGGTCACACGTCTTTTTCTCCTTGCTTTGCTTCCCCAGGTGTTGAATAAGCTGCTTCACGTCCCCCCGTAACTTGGTATCCGCTGCCGCATCTACCCCCTTGCCTGAGCTCTCCAGCTCCTCTGCCGATGCTTTCCCCTCAGAGGCGGCAGATGCTGTCTTATAGAGGGCCTTTGCTATAGCGATTACGTACACACCACACAGTCGTACCCGTTTAGCTGTTGAGGTGTAGGTGCTGATTGGAAAGTAGCTTCAGTTATAGTAACGCCTGCGTGGGAATAGGAAACAAGAGGCGACGAAAGTCGTCGTAGGGTTGCGAAGCTTTTTCTTGAGGGGATTACTAGTGGGGAGTGTGAAATTGGAAAAACAACTACCAAGATAATATTGTGGGATTCGAAGTGATGTCCAGAGATTCGAGCCTTACACCTTTCAGATTCGAACCTGTAACCTTTCCATTCAATCGACTAAGCTACGTGCCTTATTTTAGTTAGCGCGTTTTCACAACACGTAAAAATTAACTGCGACGACGTTTGCATTCCTTAGGGTTTCGTTTCTTCTCTTTTTTTCTCGCTGCTTCCTCTCACTCGCTTACTCTCCCCAGCAGAAGGCGCTAGTTCTTGCTTGGCTTCTCTCCTAGACACACTGGTATGTTCGTTTTTTTCCTATATTGCATCTTCGTCAACTCAAGTATATAGTTCTCGCGACATAGTTTCCTTCAAATTCGTTTTCTAGTTATGCCACTTTCTGCTTTTCTGGTCGTTATTTTGTTTTCTCTGCTTTGATTTCCACCTCATTGCTCAGTAACGTAGCCGTTTTCCTTATTCCTTTCTCTTCCGTTTGTATTCGTCGTAGTTTTCGTGCATACTCTACTTTCTACATTTTCACCTCCATTCGCTAACCTTGCCTTGATAGCTAGATTGATTTAAACCATTTCGACACGAGCAGCATGTCGTTCTCTCTTTCTCTCTCTCTCTCTCTCTCTCTCTCTCTCTCTCTCTCTCTCTCTCTCTCTCTCTCTCTCTCTCTCTCTCTCTCTCTCTCTCTCTCTCTAATGGTCCTTGTATTGATATAGGCGGCAAATACAAGCATGCAAGTCATAGAGTCAGAAGTAACATACATGCAATGCACGAGCACCCCAGATCTACAACTCCACTAGAGGCTCAATGACTGCAAAGCAGTCCCCAAGGTGCAACTCGTCCCCAATTCCCCCCACAGGCGGATTCTCTACCGCCGCGGCCTCTCCAAGCTTGAGCAGGAGGCCTACAGATTGGGCCCTTTGCAGGGCCACCGACCAACGCTGCCTGAACTGGTGCAGGAATTTTGCAGCATAGAACGATTTGGAGTCGGCGTTGAAGTGGCGCCGTGCTGCAGTGTCCGCCAAGAGCTTCAGGAAGACTGGCACCTCTGCGCAGGGGCAGCCGTAGGTGTCCACCGCTAGTGGGAAGAACTGCACCGTCTCTGGCAGGGTGGCGTAGTGCTGGATCTTCTTGTCCGCTTGCTCCCGTGCCGCCCAGCCCCTGCCCTTCTGCGCCTTGGGATCCCTGGTGCTAATAGGGTCGGTAATGGTGACGTCGCATACGTATACGGCCCCACTGCTTCGGTCCGTCATTGTAAAATCGGCCGTCTGCTCCTCAATGGGGCAATGCGCCGACGACTCGCTGTGGACGATGAACCCCGCGTCCTGGGCCATGCTAATGCACGCATCGCGCAGCTCGTTATGGGTGTTGATGCGATGCTTGCCCGTGCCGCAGCGGAGTAGGTGGTTAGGGAGGCGGGGGTCCGTGATGGCGGTGTGGTCAGTGCAGTCACAGTTCTTAGGCGTGGAGAAGGGGAGGGCCAGCCGGAAACGTACGGCATTAGAGTAGTGAGTGGGCCCTATCCTCCTGTTGGCCGCAATGGGGATAGCGGTTAGCCAATCCCCGGTCCCATAGCCGGTCAGTGAGTATATCCGCTGCGTGTGTCCGCACAGGGGGTTCAGCGCCATTTGTCGTGTCTCCTTGACCTGGTCGGCATATCTGCTCCCATGTACCCTCTCTCTCTCTCTCTCTCTCTCTCTCTCTCTCTCTCTCTCTCTCTCTCTCTCTCTCTCTCTCTCTCTCTCTCTGTTTCGTTCTATCGCTCTCGTTCTCTCGTTCTCTCTTTCTTTCATTCTTGTTCTGTCTTTCTCGTTCTCTCCCCCTCTCTCTCTCTCGTCCTCTCTCTCTCTCTCTCTCTCTCTCTCTCTCTCTCTCTCTCTCTCTCTCTCTCTCTCGTTGCTGTTTTCCCCTCTCTTTCTTTCTAATCCCATATTCGTTTCTTTCTTAGCTCTTGTTTCTCGGTAATTTCACTATTTCTTCTGTCCACTCTATCAATTTATTATTTAGTGACATTGATCCTGCTTTTCATCCCTTTCTTGTTGCTCTATCCTTCTTTGGCCATTTCTTATCTTCTTCATTGCTTTTATTTGATCGTGTTTCTGTCTTCTCTCCTTCTCTAGACTTCCTTTGTTGTTTACCTTCGTTTGACAAACTGACATTAAGATATTCTGAGCTTGAATACTTGCATGAAAGTAATGAGGTATATGCATGACGTTAACACTACAAAAGTGTGCATGATGTACATGTCATCATCAAACTTCATGCAAATGTGTATCATCAGACTTCATTTTCTCTCTTCTCGCTCCTTCATTGCTTTGCTTTTCACCTTGTTTTAGTCGTGCTATTTGTCTACTTATTTTTGTGGTATTAAGGGTTTCAATTAGGCTTCTTTACTGTCGTTATTTGTTATGGTTTACTGTCTTTCCTTCCTGGTCCCTTCTATTTTGTGTTATGAATTAGACTTCTATTCATTTCTTATTGACCTTACTTTCTTATCCATTTTTTCTACCCTTCTATTTTTTATTTCCTCTCTCCCATCTTCTTTCTGTTCGTAGCTGCATTGTTTCTTCGTTCTTCTTAGTTTCTGCGCCACCTCGTTCTTCTCTCTTTCCCCTTGCATGTGCTCTCTCTCTCTGCATTTTCTTCGCTTCTTCCGATCCCTTCCTACCATCTTTCTCTCTTTCGATTTCTGTTTTCCATACATTTTTAAGTACGCATGGAATTTGGTATGTGAGAATGATGCACCTCCCTTTTCTATGTCTGTTGTTGGCTGCTTCTGCTTTCTTCTTTCATTTTCAACTGTTTTTTTTTTTCATAACTCTTTTTGTTTTCTTCATTTCAGTTTAGTTTCTTCTGTCCCTTCTTTCCACCCCTTAATTTTCTCGTTTTGTTCTGCTTGCTTGCCTTTTCGTCAACAGGCCGCACGTACACCAGTCCATACTACCTTCTAGTATTCTGATGAGTCAGATTGAGCTAGATAATAAGGAAATGCTTGGTAATGTTTGTTTGTTTGTTAAAGCTTCTTTGCATATTCTATTTTCGTTTCTTCTTTATTGTGCGAATGTGTTTGTTTGTGTGAGTGCATTCATCTCATCTGTCATTGCAATATCAATGCATGTCTGTCAATTTTAAAAAGGGGGTTCATTTCTATCATTTCTCATTGGTTCATTGGCGCACTCAGTGACTCGTGTGTTTGCCACTTCGAACTGGATTTGATAGAGTGAACCTCTTTTTTAGAGTTAACAGATTGTATTGTTTCATGTGCTAGTACCGTAATCCCCCGGATATAAGACCCTAGGGTCTTATCCTAAATCACTAGAAAAAATGGGGGGGTATTATCATATGGCCCCTTTTTTTAAAGGTGTTTTTAACACTACAGTCAATACTGAAGTTGGGGGGATGCTTTTGGTGAGCACCAAGCCAGCGAAACATTCTTCGCTAGAAATCATTGACCGGTCACAACTCATTCGCCTCTCACAGTAACATCGCCCCCCCACGCAGGAGATTCGCCCCCCGATGGCAGTAGATTCGCCCCCTGACGCAGCAAATTCGCCACTGACTCAGCAAATTTGTCCCCCTGTCACAGCACATTCGCACCTGACGCAGCAAATTCGCCACTGACGTAGCAAATTCGCCCCATGACGCAGCAAATTCACCCCCCAACAGGCCAAATTCGCCTAGTAACATGTTTCGGTCTAAATATAATAATTCGAAATCTACATGGAAACCCCCCTATAGGGGAAGGGGGGTCTTATATTGTTTACCCCTCAAAAGGGGGGTATAACGATTTCGAGGTTTAATTAAGTACCCCCCCGTATTAGCTACCCGGGGGTCTTTTAATGTGGGGGGGTCTTCTATCCGGGGGATTACGGTAGTTAATAATTCAAAGACTTCGCTATTGACTTTCCCCCCATGCTAGGCAGGGGATGCGGTAGCCTAGTTTTTGGGTCGTTAACTATCACGCATTTGTATGATATACTGGTGTGGTGCATTTCAGCATATCATATGCATACAAAAGCATTTTCATGCGTGTTTCGGTATTAGGTATGCATCTATATATCATGTCTCATCATTACATTCATTTAAGCATGCGTGGCGTGTAATTCATTACTAGTATTCATAACATTTATTACATGCAATTATCACAACAACATCAAGCAGTAAAAGATGTAATACAAACAGTATAGTATTTACGCACAAAACTACTACAAAACTACTCCAAAACATACCCCCACCAGAACGTACCTGGGGCTTGAAGCTTCTCGGAAGCCCTTTTGCAGAATCCAAATTGTGCGAGCCAGCGCTGTCAAAGCGAAGGAAGAGTGTGAAAGGGTGTGTGTGTCAAGTTATATATGTTATACGTGTGTAAGCTGTAGTGGGGTAGCCAATATGGGGTACAACCTCTCTAGGGTTTGTTACTTGTGTGGCATAGTAATTCTAACATGGTATTTAGAGCAGGAGGTCCCTAGGACCTCAGGATCGATTTTTTTTAGGGCCCACCACCCTGCCTGCGGTTACCGTGCTACCCCACGCCCTGCCTGCGGTTACCGTGCTACCCCACGCCCTGCCTGAGCCTGCCTGCCTGCCTTACGTGCCTGTCGCGCTGTCCTGCAGCCCCGCGCGCCGCTCGTCGCACTGCCCTGCAGCCCCGCGCGCGCCCTGCCGCTGCCCGTCGCGCTGCCCCATAGCCCCGCGCGCCGCCCGTTCCGTTGCCCCGCAGCCCCGCGAGCGCCTTGCCAGCCGGTCGCGCTGCCCCGCAGCCCCGCGCGCCGCCCGTCCCGCTGACCCGCAACCCCGCGCGCGCCCTGCCAGCCCGTCGAGCTGCCCTGCAGCCCCGCGCGCCGCCCGTCCCGCCGCCAAAGTGCCGCTCTGCCCTGCAGCAGACGTGGCCCCGCCCTGCCGCCAACGCGGCCCCGCCCTGCCGCTGTCGCGACCCCGACCTGCCGCCGACGCGGCCCCGCCGTGCCGCCGACGCGGCCCCGCCCTGCCGCTAACGCGGCCCTGCCCTGCCGCCGACGCAGCACCGCCCTGCCGCTGTCGCGGCCCCACCCTGCCCCTGTCGCGACCCCGCCCTGCCACCAACGCGGCCCCGCCCTGCCACCGTCGCGGCCCCGCCCTGCCGCCGACGCCGCCCCACCCTATCGCTGTCGCGGCCCCGCCCTGCCGCTGACGCGGCCCCGCCTGGCCCCGCCTGGCCCCGCTCTGTCGTTGACGCAGCACCGCCCGGCGGCTGACGCGGCCCTACTCTGCAGCCGCTTTTGCGGCCCCGCTGCCCACCACTGGTGAGCACCTGCCCTACCCGAGCTTCCCGTGAGCCTGCCTTGTTAGCGCGCTGCCGCGCCATCTGCCTGCCTGCCTGCCTGCCTGCCCGCCTGCCTGCCTGCCTGCCTGCCTGCCTGCTTGCCTGCCTGCCGGCCTGCCTACCTGCCTGCCTGCCTGCCTGCCTGCCTGCCGCGCCTGCCCTGCCCGCGCTACTGCTGCTGCTCCTACTACTCGTGCTGCTGCTGCTGGCGGTGGCCCAATGCAGCCCCAGCGACGTTCGCGCGAGTCTCTCACGCCCCAGCAGCTTCGTGAGTGGTACACTAGTTGGGGTTGTGGCGGTAGCCGTCGTGGCTGTCGCCCTGGAGCTGGTCAGTTGGGAGCATCTGGGAGTGGTCACCTGCAGCTGCAGAGGCGCCCACGCGAGACACTTACGCCCCAGCAGCTTCATGAGTGGTACGCTCAGAGTAGAGGGTCTCGGAGTACCGTTCGCTGCCCGTACGTCATTCGCACAGGTGCTCGGACTGGTCAGGCTTGCGGGACACTTGGTCACACACAGTCCCGCTGCTTCGCCCGTCTGAGCGACGCCTGGCGTACCGAGTTTGGCGACGAGGCTGAGCTCCCCACCTGGCTGGAGCTGCTTAGGCAGAGGGTAGATATCTTTGCTCTTGACTATGATGCTATTCTCACTGCCATGTATGCATTGCCTACTAGTACTGACGGTGCCTGTTACCTGTGCGTACCGCCTGACCCAGGTATAGACCCTGCTGCTCTAGGTGCTGGTGAGGCTGCTGCTCTAGGTGCTCGTGCGTCTTCTGCTCTAGGTGTTGGTGAGGCTGCTGCTCTAGGTGCTAGTGCGTCTCCTACTCTAGGTGCTGGTGAGGCTGCTGCTTAGGGCGTTGGTGAGTCTGCTCTTTCTGGTACTGCGCCTGCTGCGGTCTTGCACACCTTCACCCTTGACTCAGGAGCTTCCCGCTCCTTCTTTCGCGACTGCACCACACTCACGCCGCTTAGTCGGCCAGTTGCAGTCTCCCTGGCGGACCCCTCTGGGGGTCCAGTCCTTGCCCACAACTCCAAAGTTCTGCCGTGTCCGACCGCCCCGTCTGGCTTGCTGTCGGGTCTCTACCTCCCCTCGTTCTCTACGAACTTGGTGAGTGGAGCTGACCTCCAGGATGGCGGGGTTGACCAGTTCACTCCTGCGAGTCAGCGAGTGACTCACTGTACGTGTGCTCGGACGGGCCAACACCTGGCCACGTTTACCCGTGCGCCTGGCTCGAGTCTGTACACACTGACCACTGAGTCCCCTCAGGTAGCTGCGTCTGCGTCTGCGTCGGGTCAGCTAGCGGCCCCCAGCTCGTGTCGCGCTTTGTCGCACCAGACCCTCCTTTGGCACCACCGTCTTGGTCACCCCTCGGTGCAGCGCCTTCGTAGCATGCACCGCCGTGTCCTTGTCTCTGGTCTTCCCAGGGTTCTCCCTCCCCTCCCACCCTCGCCTGCTCCTCCCTGTCTTCCCTGTGTCGAGGGGCGGCAACGCGCCGCTCCTCACTCCTCCTCGTTTCCCCCGACGACTGCTCCCCTGCAGACCCTGCACATGGACGTGTGGGGCCCAGCCCGCGTCACTGGACAGGGCCGCGAGCGATACTTTCTGCTGGTTGTCGACGACTACTCGTGTTACACCACGGTCTTCCCCTTGTGCACCAAGGGTGAGGTCCCTGATGTTTTGATCCCTTGGATCCGCGCTGCCCGTCTCCAGCTCCGCGAGCGGTTCGGGACGGAGTTTCCCGTCCTGCGTCTGCACTCTGACAAAGGTGGTGAGTTTTCCTCCGACCTTCTGCAGAGCTTTTGTCGTGGGGAGGGCATTCGCCAGACGTTCATGCTTCCGGCCTCTCCGCAGCAGAATGGGGTTGCTGAGCGCCGCATTGGCTTGGTCATGGAGGTCGCTCGTACCTCC